TCTTTTCCAGCCAGCCCCGAGCAGCAAACGCCTGCTCCAGCTGCCAGACCACAAAACCTCAAGCCCGGCTCGCAGCGTTCAGCTCGCTTGGGAATGCCATAAAAAACCCCAAAACTAAAGCAAACAAACCCCTCCGGCCCTCGCTTCGCCTCGGCCAGCTCCCCCCAAGGCTTTAAAGCCCCTGGTTTTGCTCTCGCCGTACGCAGAGCCTGAGCGAACCAGCAGCCCCTGGCAGCATCTCCCACTGCTGGCATTCAGGATTTTAATTAAGACGCTGGAAAGGAGCAGTCCCAAATTGCTCTTTTGGCCCGGCCCCTCGACGGGGTTCCTTTTCACCCCGTGGGAGGGATGTGGGTCTATGGACCAAGGTGGGATTTAATGAAACCCTTGGCGAGAAAGCCCTTGGCAAGATGCAGGCAGCCCCCCGGAAACATCTTTGGGAGCTGTGGGAGGGGAAGGGGTGTCGGTGCGGGCTCCGTAGCAGGGAGGGGAGCTGGGATAAGCAGTTTCCCCAGGCTGCGATGCTCCGGAGGAAGCCCCGCTGCGTACACTCCCCGGGCACGCACCTCTGCCTGCGCTCTCCCCGTTGCTGAGATGGAGGGAGCCAGGAAGGCACACGGTGCCAGGGCTTGGGCAGAAGGCAAGGGAGATGCCGGGCCCTAATTTAAAGGGTGTATTCCCCCCCCGTGCACCCCTTTGCTACAGTCTCCCTGAAAGGCAAACAGCATGGTAGAATAACCCCCTCCCCACGCTCGCGGGCACGAGAGCATCACGTGTGTTTGCTAACTCGGCTTTTATTGTCACGGGACGCAGCGGCAGACGATGCGAGAGGTCGCTACGGGGGGGACGCGGGCGCGGGACACCGCAGGTCTTCCAGCACATTCACCTCGAACGGCAACGCAGCGCGCTGCATCAGGTGGGAGGGAGGGAGAGAATCGATGCCGCAGTGGGGAGATGCCGCTGGCTGCAAGCCCTGCTCCTTTCCGTGCCTTTGCTGCCCCGTCTCTGCGCAAAAAGACAAATTCTCAGGCCACGGCGATTTTCCCCTTGGCGACAGGGCAATTAATAAGCAGACGAGGGGGTCCCTGCAAGGAGCATCATGTCACCTCCCGGTATCGGCTCCGTTGCAGCCATGCCTCAAATTGCCGCCCCGCGTTTTTGCTCGCGCTACGCTCAGCTGAGTCACAGGGCAAAGGCGTTAACAGGAGAAGCTGCCCTGGGAATGCTGTTCCTCTGGGATGGAGAAGCGTGGTCTTAGCCCAAGGTTTCAACGTGCATCAGAAGCGCGGTCTGTTTGATTTGCCCCTCCCCGGAGATGGGCCACCCCGAGCGAGATGGAGACATAAAATAAGGGGCAGACTCGGCGAAGGCAGAAACCCCAGCAAGCACCGAGCACACGGTGCCTTCAGCCCGAGATGGAGCAGCAGCATCTGCTGCCTTCGCTGCCCTTTGCCCAGGGTTTTATTTACAGTGTTATTAAAGGAGAGTGTCCCAAGGAGCCTGAAATGTTAAAAAATGGGGTTTCAGCAAAGCCAGGGATTAACAGGCTGTTTTCCCCCACTGTAAACAGAACTGGTTTGCTTTCAAACATGCCCTTGGTGCCAGCCGGTGAGCAGCCAGGGAGGGAGAAGAGCTCCAGCAGAGCTGGGGCCCCGCAGCTCCTCCAGAAGCTGGGGGACACGGGGGTCTGCCCCTCTGCAAGCCGCTTCGGTTCACAAACCCAGGGGAAACCCGGGATGGAAACGCAGCCCCGGGCTCCGCCAGCCGGATGCTGGTGGCTGCAGATGGGCAAACCGGCTGGCCTGGCTCTTCGGGGAGGGCCAGAGGAAAGGCAGAGGGGGACGCAGCCCTCCAACCCACACGGCCGGTGGGTCTGGGGGCACTGAGGGGTGGATGTGGGCAGCGACCACTCCCCCCGGAGCAACTGGAAAGGTTTTGAGCAGCCACCGCTAAACACAGGGGATTTTACCCCCCAGCAACACTGAGCAGCAGAAGCGACGGCCGTTTTCCCCGGGACAGGGATGGCTGGCGACGGCCCAGGAGCCGGCGCGACCCTCGGGGTCAGCCCGGCGTGGTGGGTGCACGCTTTGGGGCACAGACAGACCCAGCAAGCTTTCTTAGGGGAGCGGGAAAACCCATACGGACGCGTCTGTGCTGGGTCTGATCCCCGCTGAAACACTTCTGAGCCTGCAAGGGTTGACCCAACACCACTGAAACCACCATGAACAACCTTCACTACTGACTTCAGCCATGCAGGAGGAGGAAGAGGGAACAAAGGGGTAAGATGGATGAAGAACACCTTCCCTGCCGACGCAAAGCCCATTTGTAAAAACCTACGGGCTTTAAAAGGCTGTTGGGCCCCAATCCCGCCCTCCCCACCTCTTAACCTTCCCCTCCTGGGAGCCAGCGCAGCCCCACGAGCTGCCCCTCAACCCCGGGGCTGAAGCAGCGGGCGCCCTCGCAGCAGGATAGCCTGTCCCTCAGTCCCAGCTCGGCCGCCGCTCTTGCCTCGCACCGGGGACGCTCACTCGGGGATGTAGTCCCTGAAGGAGTTAAAGCTGAGGCTCCGGCCCGCCGAGTTCAAGGTGGAGCTGGCTTGCATCTTGGGGATCTTCTCCATCAGCTTCGACACTGTCCTCCTCTTGAAGGAGCCCGGGGAGAAATGCCCCTGCCTCATGAGCTCCTGGTAGAGGGTGTTGAACACTGCCACGGTCTCTTCATAGCTGTCCCGGGTGGAGATCTCGTAGAAAGGAAGCTTCAAGGCTTTGGAGAGGTTTTCGCCGTCCTCCGTGGACACCATCCTGTCGAACTGCAAGTCCTTCTTGTTGGCCACGATGACCACGGGGGGCTGGTCGCTCCCGCTGCTCCGCTTGGGGCTGGAGTGGATGTGGTTGATGAGGAAACACAACCGCATGACCTCGTCAAAGCTGCACCGGTCCGTCACTGAGTAGACCACAGCGAAGCCATCACCCCATTTGATCTTCTCCTCTATCTGAAGGGAATCCTCCTCCTGCCAGGGCAGACAAGCTCGTATTAACGCCAGAAGCCCCAACACCTCCTAAACACCAACGCTGCCGGCTGCAACCTAGAAAACCTCCCGGGGGGCCCGTCACCACCTCCCTGAAGGTTTTTAGCTCTGGGCTTGCACACAGCAGCGACGTGCAAAGCAACACAGGTAGCCAGGGCAGGAATTCGATGGGATGAGCAAAACGACAGATGGAGACGGCCATCAGCCCCATCCTGATGTGGACGAGGGGAGAGTTAGTGCCACCAAAGCGGGTGCGCAAAGGTAGGGCTGTTGCCAGGTGGGAAGCCAGCACAGGGCTCTCCATCGCCCACAATGCCAGTGCTTGGTGGCCCCTTCAACCCAGCACCCTCCTGCTCCCTTGACTTGTCTCCCTGCCATCAGGATGCTCCACCGGCGCAGGGAGCAGAGCTGCGTCGCACGCCGCTAAGGGGAACGGGGAAATATTTAGCTGAAGCCACACTGTAATTGACGCTAGAGAGACGTAAATTCTCCAAAACATCCTTTTTCCGAGATAAACACATCTTGATCAATATTTCGGATACAACAGATTAAAGCTGGTGGAAGGGCAGGGATCGCCTTCAACGGCAAGTCGCACTTCCACGATGGTATTTTCCAGGGTCAGCCCGCTATGAAACGGCGTGAGCTCACCTGTCCTGCCGTATCGAGGATCTCAAAGTGCACCATCTCCCCGTCGATGACGGCCATGTGCCTGTAAATCATTTCTGGAGGAGGACAGACAGAAAAAGGTGCGTGAGAGAAGCCCACGGGTAGCAAATGACAGCCCAGGTGGCCTCGATGCAAGCCATGCTGGAGAAGTAGATTTTCACCTCCTGCAACCTACAGCCCATGTGGTCTCCGTTTCAAGTCCACATCTTGAACTGGTCCTCAGCCTGCCTCCCCGTGCCCCGTGCCCATGGCATCGAGCCCAGCATCTCCGACGGGCAGCGGAGACCCCCAGCCAGCACCCAGCCAGCTTTCGCCTTGCTGGGAATAGAAGGGCAGCGGTGACCGAAGCGTTGGAGCAAAAAGGGGTCATGGAGTGATGCTTCTGCAAAGGAAGAGGGGCTCAGCAGGAGGGTATGAAAAGCTGGGTTTTGAAAAGCTTTGTTTTGAGACCCTGCTCATGCTCCTAACCCAGCCCTTTGCCCAGCCGGCGTTGAACTCCTGCTCCAAAGCAGCGGGGGAGCGGCTCCTTCCCAACCAAGCAATAAAAGCAGCTGCCAGGCGTGCATCTGGGCAGCTCTTCCAGCACAAAAACCGCTTCGAGCTTCACTAACATCATCAGGCAATAAAAACCAGCCGGTACTCTGCTTAGCAACTGCTCCGGGCACGGCGTGCTCGACAGGACGCCTCGCTCCGCGCAGACGGAGCACCTCGGTCACGCCAGGGTTTGTGTGCCACCGCACGCTGGGGCAGAAACCCTCTGGGCTTGGCCGTCTACGGGATAAACCAGGCACCTTCCCCTTCCTCCAACACAGGGAAGCACCAGGTACCCTCACCGCATGGTTCCTGTATTTTATCCCATCGTATGGAGCGAGCCCAACAGGAGGAAGAAGCAGCAGGCAGAGAGGAAAACCAAACTGCACTCCAGGGGGAAAAAAGCGTCGCTCACCATAACAAGCAAGGAGTGGGGATGTAAAGGACAGACGGGGCAACAGCAGGGCTGTTTTTCAAACCAAGCCTTTCCCTTGGGTCCCCTACGAACCAGCTGGGTTAGAGCAACACAGAGACTTCCTAAATTTCCCAGCCTGGCGGGTGACAGCAGGGGTTAGGCAGAAGGATACACAGCCAGCGACCGGTCATTTCTGGGATACTGTGGCAGGGACATGACTTCAGTGCCCAAAAAACCTCAAACCCAAATAAAAAAAAAAACCCTAGAAGACAGGAAAGCACTAGCCACTGCTCCAGTGGCTTAGATACCTCCTTCCCCTTAAAGCCACCTCCCAGCGAATTGCTCGAGGATGGCTAAGCACGCTGTGCTTCCTTGTGCAATGCCCATGACTCGCTCCAACAGATTTTGCCTTAAGAAAACAACAAAAAAGGAAAAAGGGATGCAAGAGCCAGGGAGGTGCCATGGTGGCTGGTGGCTCTGAGCGCTGCCAGTCTGGTCGAGGAGGAAGAGGAGTGAATACAGTGAGTTTGGGAGCAGAGGCGGCTCTGCCGGGAGCAGCGCTGGGTGCATCAGAGTCTCCAGGCTGAGCCAGCAGCAGCAGCAAAAGCCACAAGAAAAAGGACTTGACCTACCTAGGGTTGGGTCGTAGTCTCCAATGAATCTCCTGGTGATGAATCTTACGGTCAATGCTGTAAAAAAACCACAACAAACCCAGTTACGGTTGTCAGATCAAACTGCAGACAAACATCGGCTGATCGAGGCAGGAGGGATGGAGCAAAGACCTGCCCCAGCCGCACAGGACAGTGCCCGTGTGGGCACCAGGAGCAGACATCCCAGCAGCGATGCTGCAAACCCGGCCCCACGAGGACCAGGTTCTTGCAGGGTTGGGAGAAGTGTCTTCAAAGGCACCCAGACAGGCTGGGTCACTGCTGCGTGCTGGCCGGGGCTGCCCCATGATGACCGGAGAAGACAGTAAAGCAGCAAATTGCCAGATCTTGGTGACAAAAGGTGAGGGAAAGGATCACGGTTGCCCAGGTGGATGCCTTGGACCAAGATTGTTACAAGCCCTCTTTTCTCCCCCCCCAAGTCCTCGAATGACGGCGCAGCCCCGTGCAGGCTGTCCTCTACCTCACTCTGCCCGGTGTACAACGCGGGAAAAGCACGTCAGGATGGGCAGGAGCCCCCCCAGGCTGGGCGCTTGCACCTCACCTCTCCTACGCAGCCTAAAAAATTTCCAGAGCTTGTAGACATTGGGCATTTCAAAATAACCTCATTGCCGCCCCGGGAAAATGCTAGATGGCTTTTGCATGTTCTTTGCAAATATTTGCATCAAGGACCGAAACCCAGCAGGGACAGGATGCCCCAGGCAGAGGGAGGCTTCTGCCCAGCTCCATGAGCGCACACCAGGCACCTCTGCCCAAAGCTGCCTGCTCGCTGTCAGCAGCAAAGCACCCGTCGCGTCGAAGAAACGCAGCCCAGCGGCAATGGAAAGCACCGCCGGCCCCCCCCGACGTTGCCTAACCCAACCTCCCACCTTGCCAGAGCTCAGCAACCTCTCCTGCGCTGCTGCTGTCAGAAACGTCCTTCCAGGTCGCACGGACACGGCAGCTCAGGAGCCCTGAAAGCGGCAGCGGGAGGTGGTTGGGCTCCGCAGGAGGCGGGCAAGACCGCAGGCGTTTCACCGTGCTCGGCAGACGGCAGCAGGCAAAGCCCAGGCAGAGCCGCACCCCAGGAACGCACCCAGACGTGCAGGAGAAAGGCGGCTCCTCGCACGTGGAATTCACTTTCCTGCATGGTCTGGGTTGATAAATTGCATTTTCCGGCCTTGGTCCTGCAAAGATTTATGCGTGTGCTTAAGTTTTATGCTGGGTGAGCGATCCCCTCGGTGGCCTCCAGCCAAGCGCTGTCCAATGACAAACTCAACGTGGGGGCAAGTGGGTGCTGGGCCAGGCTCCCCCTCTATATCACCGGCGCTGACGGTGCAACTGCCTGGAGATGGGTCTCATGACTTTCAGCGCTGTTTGTTTAACCTGACCCGGGCACGCCGCACGGAGGAGGGAAGGCCGTTGGCACCACATCTCATGAAATTCATCAAAAAGCCGAAGTCGGAGGAACACAGGGCACGGCAAAGCGGGAGGTCCTCCTTATACGCCAGCCATGCATTGCAGCAAAACCAGCCCTGGAAAGGCACCCGGCAGCGTTAGGAGCCAGTGGAGCAAGAGCTGGGCAGATGCTCCAAGGAGCAGCCCTCCCCTGGGTGGACACGTCGCCTTCCTACCGTGCCTGCGCCTGGGAACGCACACCCCCAGCACGGGGACGCTGGGCACAAGCGGGGACCGGTGACTCTGCTTCAGCCTTGCGAGGAGTCCTGCTCCCCGGCAGCGCTCCGGCATGCAGGGCGACGAAGCAACCCCCCCACCACAAAACCACCCCTGCCCCTTCCATCTGCTGGCGCAGCATCATCACGGAGATCGAACCCTTTGGCCTGCTTTGTCCTCCTTGCAAGGGCAAGGAAAGGCAGGAACAGCCGCAGCGCGGCCGTGTGGGCAATTAAATCTCTCTTATCCGATTACGCCATCTCCCTGCACCAGAGGCCGGGAGATGCGAAGCCCAAATTACACTCTAATGCTAGGCTGGGTGGAGGTCTGCTGACGCTGGAGGCTGGCCTGATAGCTCCATCAGACATGGCAAGGGCTTTCTGCTTGCTGGGGAAAAGTACTGCCTCTCATCATCCCTCTCGACCCAGCCAGGCTGAAGGAGACAGACCTCGGCTCCAGAGCAAGGGCTTGTTTGAGGTGGGCAAGCTCTCTGGGGACTGCGAAAAAAAAAAATCAGAGAGACTCCTATTTTTCTGTAAGGGGTAGCAAAAGCTTTGCCATTGTGCAAGGTCTCTAGAGGGGTATTTCTAGCAACGGGGACAGCAGACAGGGCTGAGGCTCAGCTGGAAAACGGCTAGGAACGGGAAACAGCAAAAAGCAAAGGCTTTCCAAGTAACAAAGCAATTTGGAGGTGCTAAAAATCCTGCTGGTCTGAACGGGGCGGGCAGGCGGCCAGAGCGTAGCTGTCACTCCTGCTAACAGAGCATCAAGCTTTGCTACGTGTCCCCGATGTGGCCAAAGGGCTGCAAAAATGCGTCCGTCCCTGCCCTGGTAAGCGCTGGGTTTTATCACAGTCTCCTGCTCCAGAGCCGGCAGACGGGGAAGCCTCCCCCGGCACCGCAGCAGCCCCTGGGGCCACGGCAAGACCATCGCGGTCCCCGTGCCGGCACCCTGGATGGCACGGGATGGTGACAAGAGGAGACCGGCGCTCATGAAAATGGGCAGAAGCA